CTCTTATATATGTGGATAAGACATAACAGTATACGATATTGGAAGTAAAATGTCCCTAAGAAACAAACAAAATTGGAAGCCATCTCCACAGTCATTTGCATTCCATAAAAAACATTTATATTACGAGCTATACAACAAAGTTCCAAATGAAGATGCCTATAAACACAAAAGTATTATTTATGTATATGTTATACCTATATATTATGATACAATTAAGAATATATTTTCTATGAATTATAACTGCAAAATTATATATAACTGTACAAGTAAATAGCAATAGGTTTTATATCCGTTAAACAATAAAGACGGATAATTAATCGGATATTAAACGGATAATTAATTATTCGTTAAATTTTATATATATTAATTACATTGCAGTCCACAACACATGCTTATGATATTCTGTGTTTCGAACATAGCGACTATTGACAGTAAGAGACTTTTTCCACATGCATCTTAATCCACAGTTCTCATTTTCCGAGAGTTGCGCAATACGGTCGTTTATTTTATCAAATCTGTTTCCGATATATCTGTGGCAAAAAATAAAAAAGGTCTATTTTATACGCTCTTATTTATAAAGAAAATAACAAATTAATGTGTTTTATTTAGCATTATTATAGTAATAATAATATATTACCTTAACATATACATAATCGTCAAGTCGTGTAAAGTATTGATATGTATAGGATAATCTATAATCCAAGGCATAATCATCGCTTTTGCATTAGTGTGTTGCATTAGCCACACTAAACCGTCAAAAATATTTACCAGACATACCATTATAAACCACGAAATCAATGACCATTTTATCATTGTTCGTTCTTTATCATATTCTTTAGATATTCCGAGCTCTACGAATGTGTCATTTACAATATCGAGTTTCTTTATACATTGTTGGTATTTCTATGAATAAAATAGGTAAAAACCAAATTATAAAAGTAAGATACATCTTATCCTTGAAAAAAAGATTAAAACTTGGTAGTGTTTGATACTATGTAGAGAAATACTTTTTTAATACATTATCGTCAAGTGTGTTTTTATCTTTAAGGAGATTTATAAGATTTATTGAAAATTCATAAATTATACGTAATATTTTAGCAAATTTTGTTTGCAAGTAGTATTTGCGCAAGAGAAGTGGAAAATGATATAATTTATATATTACATATATTATACATTTAAAAGTATAGATATGCAAAACAACGACGGCAAATTTGTACAAAAAAGAATTATAAATACCTCGTGTTTGTAAAATGTGATAAGTATATGTAACATTGATAAGAACAAATTTATTCCTATCGAAGAACAAGTTAAAACTCTAACAATTCCTCCTGTCAATATGAATGTTTCTACTACAGTATAGAACGCCCAAACAAAAACAGTCCACACAGTTAGTATATAAATAACACTGAAACAAAGTCTTAAATGACTTTTCGGATATATGTAAATTCCGCAACCCGTGAAGAAAGTGACTACAAAATAAGGACGCATGACTCTTTCCATAGTGTCGTACATGATCGCAACACTCGCATTTCGCTGTGGTAACTTCTACTTACTAAACCTAAAGTCGATAAATGTTAGCATGCCCCATTCATTACGATGATGGTATGGCACTTGATAAAAGTTTTGCATTACTATAATTGAATTATTAGTGATAATAGAGATACACTTATTTGATATTACCAATCATACAAAGAGCACGAGCAGTTACATTTTTAAAGTATATTTCTTGCATTTACTTTTTATATTCTGTATATATTATGCACTGCGGTGCGCTAGTTGTAATAATATTTCATTAATACAATATGATTCACGTAATTAGAACAATAATTATATAAACTTTTGTATTCTTTCTCGTGAAAACTTATAATAGTAGGGAAGTGGCCAATTCGAAGCAATAACCAGATCTTTGTGTCAATAAACTTCTTTTATTTTTACTTGACAAACGTTTCGATTCTAATACATATAATAATTATGTAGTACACTAAAGAAGACTCAAATTAGGGTCAAAACGTTTTGTCAAGTCTCTAAAATAAAATAATTATATATTTACAGCAATATTATATATTTATTTGTGTAATTTGTTTTGAAAGAAAAATAACAAAAACTAAAAAAATATCGAAAAGACAATATCAAAACTACAATACTAACTTTAAAAGAAAAATATTGTTTTTTACTATAACCACGATGTTAAATTGTTCTCAGAAGTAACTACTCGTATTATAGGAGAAGTATCCATTTGTAGCAGGAACAGAACAACAGTAAAAATCCAGACGACGAACTGAAAGCAAAAAGTAAATATACTTAAACAATAGTGTCGTAAAAACACATCAGTCAGTAAATCACATTTTTTATTTACGATTACATTTACTTGTATAGATGGAAATTATATTAAATACAAACCGAACGGATAAAATTATAGCCAAAAGAAAATAATCCCATTCCGCTAAACTTCAATGGATGAAGCATAATTTGCAGACCAAATTGATAGATCTGCAATATAACACGCTGATATTGTTATAAAGATTGAAGAAACAGTTATTAAAGTTTCGAATTTTATATTATTAGATTTCTCTCTCTGTTACCTCTTCGTGCAGGTCGGTAAAACGGATAAAATTGGTCAATTTATGAATCACAACTCTAGTTGTTTTTGCCTATGTGCGAAAGAATATAAAATAAAAATAAAGTTTTTAGAAAGACAAGTTTCAACGTTAATTTACATATTAAAGGAAAAACAATCTCGTGTTATAGATTTATACTAATTTCTTTTATAGATATAATGGTCGTTATGTACAGCGAAATCTAGTGTAAACATATTTTAAAAATTTTTTAAATATAATCGATCAAAATCAACGATCGAAACGTTTCACATTACAATAAATAACATTATATACTAAATTACGTTATTTACTAAACTGCCTCTAACCGCAGTCAAAAAAAACTGGAAGGTTCCCAATCTTTCTAATTTTTAAATATAATTTTTATATTACGTGCAAATAGGTATCTTACCTTGGCGCTGACACTTTCGCAACTGTGATTTAATATTATAAGTTTACTTAAGAATATTATAGTCCATGCGTCGATGGAAAGTATATGCGACAGTTTTGTATTACCGTGTTCATACATTTTAGTTAAATGTAATAATACATAAAAGTGAAAATAACACAATCCCAGGAAAATAACGAAATAGGATGCCACCTGCACAGTCATTTGCATTCCGTACAAAGCGTTGATATTGCGAAATATCTGACACAGTTCTAAATGAAGGTGCCTATGAGAAAAAAATAATTATATTTATATTACGTTGTTGTCATATATATTAGTAAAATGCTTTGATATGAAAATATGTGCAAAAGTTTATGTTTAAAAATTATATAGAGTAGTCAAACCGAATGCTATATATCATAAGAAGTCAATTTTGCTAACTACTTTCTTTAAATTTTTTTTATGTCACCTTAGCGTATATTAATTTACATTGCGGTCCAGAACACACGCTTGCGCTGCTCATTGCTTCGAATATAGTTACGATTGACAATAAGAGACTTTTTCCACGCGCATCTTAGTCCACAGTCCTCGATCTCTGTCAGTTGTTCGATGTGATCGTTTATTTTATCGAATCTAGTACTTATGTATCTGTAATGTGAGAACACACAAAGTGTTAAAAGAAGCGTCACGATGTACTGACTACTTTATATCACTATACACGTACTAACTTCAAAATAAACACAATTATCAAGTCCAGTAAGGTATTGATGTGTAGAGAGTAATTCATAATCACGGGGACAAACGCAGCCCATACGCTAGCGTATCGTTGTGCATACCATAAAATATCAAGACAATTCGCCAAGCATAGTATTAAACACCATGAAATCAACGACCATCTTACTAATTTTCGAGATCTATCATAGTCTTTGGGTATTCCAAGTTTCTCCATTGTGTCATTCACGAAGTCGAGTCTTCTTATACACATCCGGTATGTCTAACAAACACACATGTATTTGTACACCGTATACATTAAAAATTTACTGACAAAATCTTATCATGTTTTATCTGACAAAATCAAATACATTGAAAATTCTTTAATTGAAATAATATTTTTTAACAAACGCTTTGATTTCTTCCGAAATAATCCAAAAACGATAAACACACAAATATATAAAAAGTAGATGTATGTATGTTACAATGTGTAAGCGAACAACATAACAATGTAATATTAAGAAAAAAAAATCTTACCTCGTGTTTGCGAAAAGTGATGAATATGGATAGCATCGACAGGAACAAATTTATGTTTATCGTAAAGGAAGTCAACATACGACTAAATGGTTGTCTTGCCAACTTAAGCACCATATATTGAAAGGAAGACGTATAACCAGGCCACACAAAACATATATATAAAATGCTCAAACAAAGTTTTGGACGACCCTTAGAATTTCTGTAAATTCCGCAACCCATGAAGAAAGCGACTGTAAGATAAGGACGCATAACTTTTTCCAAAGAGTCATCCATGATCTCAACATTGGCACTTCGCAATATTGACTATTGAGTTTTAGCCTGAAAGTCGACGAATGTTGGTGTACAAAGTAGTTTATTCATCAAGTTGATGATATGACACTTATAGATTAGATTGTCGCATTAACATTGTTACATCTTTAACGACAAGTCGGTATAGATTAATTCGAATGGAATAGAATCAATTGCACAAAGTAACGTTGACAATTACTACCAAATTTTATTTTTGAAATAATTCTTTACCTATACATCATATATACATCGTCTTTCTTACATGAAAAATATAGTAAACTATATTTTTTCCAAAAATTTTATTTTTGGAACAATTACAACACTTTAATTATAATTATAAGACATTAAATTATAAAAGTTTAATTAAGTTTGGTTGAATTTGAATTATTTTAAATTGTGTGTCGATTTTATTACATTTTAAGGAAATGATATTTTATTATTGGATTTTATTTTTACAAAAGTATTGTAATACACTTCTTGAGATTATTCTAGTATCTGTAAGAAATAAGCAAGATATCACATGTATCGTTTATTTCTCTCTCTCTCTCTGGGGTGATCTTCAGATTATTTTCCATGTTGCACTTATATTGGTGGGTTTATTTGTATTAAAATGACAACATAAGTAGTAACTGTAGCAAAAAACTGAAAGAAAGAAACAATGTAATGTAATATATATATTTTTTTTTTATTTGTCATTGTTATTTTATTCATTTTTGAAAGTATTTTTTATTCTTCAAACGAATTCTGAAGAAAATTTTTTCAGATAAATGATTATTCTAAACAATACTACTGTGTACATAAATGACACACATAACTGAGATAATTTAATGCAGAACAAATAAATATACATCAGCTAATAAATAAAGTAAATATCAAAGTAATTACATAAACACAAACCTTTCCAGTGAAAGAATTATCAATTGTAAAAAAGCCAGCAGCTGTGAAATTTAATGCATTAAGCATAATTTGTTGAGTAAATTGCTGAATCTGCAAATATATATATATATACATATTGTTCCACGAAAAAAACTTAATTACTATTATTATTACTCTATAAAATAGATATCACAAGAAGAAACCGCAGGGGAATTGTTACCTCTTCTCTCACTTCGTCATCGATTGCGGATCCTGCAAACGACTGTATAATTTCGCCGGTTTTATATGCCTGAAATATATACACCGACATATATTCTGCGATAATATCATATGAATACGTCACACATACTCTATGTACTACAATAAGATATTAACTTTTGCGCTTGGAGGTGCTTTCAACTAACATAAAGAAGTCGGGCGCACAGCACTTCGTAACAAACTGCGCGCTTCAGAGAGTGTTGTATCACGTTACTTTTGATTGGATTGTCAAAACCAGATAATAACAAGTGTTGTTTAACTTTAATTCACTTTAAAACAAATATCAAACGTAAATAATTAGATGTTCCGTCGTATTCGCAACGGCGAAATTTGATCCGAAAAGAACACGTTACTAAGAATATATTTTAAATATATTTTAAACATATATAACATATATTTTAAATATATTTTAAACATATATAACATATATTTTAAATATATTTTAAATATATTTTAAACATATATAACGTAAATAATAACATGCATAATTTTTTGTGTGTATATTTAAATAAGTTGTGTTATTACAATTTATTAAATCGTATTTTGTTTTATATAGAAGGTATCTATTTTTTTACCTCGGCCGCCAGATTGTTGCACATATTGTTCACAAATATAACTTTAAGTGAATAAACGCTTCCCCAGATTATCGTGGAAATAATTTTCTCGGTTCCAAATGACACACCTATTTTGCCAGTAAATGCGGCATAAAGATTGTAGGAACATGCAGTTACTACTGTGAAGTGTACAGCAAACTCGAGCAAAAGTTGCGCACAAAAGGTGTCGTTAATTAGTCGTGATATTTTTGTAAATTCCAAGTGTAATTGTCTGAGACAGAAATATTTTTAATTAATCATTGATTATACTCCGGTACAAAGACTTATTAAAAATACTTGAAAAATTTTAAATATATTATATGTGTGTGTTTTCTAAGCTAAGAACAACATCTGCATTTTACCTCAATATTTGTATAAGATGCATCATTTTATGTTTGTTGTTCTTATACTGTGCTTTGTAGATTGTAATAGGTGTATTCTCACGCTTATCACGAAATGTCTTACAATCACTCGATTCATTTGCACAGGCTACTACCTTGTTGATTAAATAATTCGTATATTTAAATTTCCTGTTTACACATCTGTCGTATAATGTCACATCAATACTCACATACGTACAATTAGACACATAAGTATACGTTTGTATTCACCAAGTTTTAAAACATTGCTATATAATTGATACAAGTATATAGGAACTACAAATTTTTTTCACTTTTTTTTCTACACGTGTGTGTGTTTAAAGTTTTTTACAGAATATTTTAGAAGACATACAACATCTATTCTGGAAATACGTTACTTACATGATTGTGGAGATGAAAGTGACGTCCACTACAAAATTGACCATAATTGGAAAGCAGAAACATATGGTAGTAAGAACGGTAAGTCCGAAGACATTGACATCGCTGTAGATCCATAATAAATGCATAACACTCAATAATAACATGAGTATTGTATAGAAAATTAGAATGCTTATAATGCGGTGAAAGAGCTTCCGATAATTTTGATGTATACCTAATGTCTCTAAAGTACTATCCGCGTAATTCATCTTCTTGATTATAATGAGCAAATTCTTCGAAAAAGCACAAAGCAATTATTAGATTAGAAAATAGTTGTTAAAAACTAAATAATATAACACTTCTGATAATTTATATTCAAATAAATTTCACGCGAGAAATGAAATTATGAACACACCTCGGACTTGTACCAATACAAAATTATAGCCACGCCAGCAACAAAGATGTTGACTCCCAGAACGAAGAAAAATATTGCAAAGTCATGAAGAAGCGTTAATTGAAAGATGACCAGTAGATTATAAAACAGAACGAAATACCCAATCGATACCAAGATAACGTAAAGAACGCTGAAAATAAGTTGTGGGTTGTTTGTGGGTATTTCGAATATTCCCATGCAAAATATACGATTGAGCCATAGAATAGGCTCCACCGCGTTCTTCAAGGTCATCGGTGCCATCTTAAGTTGCAAATCTAAGGTAAATAATATGATAATTAATATGATTTGCAGCGAGCACACACACACGCGTCATTAAATTATCAAATAAATATTTAAAAAATAAACTTACCTTACGTTACGTTTTCTCTTTTATTTTATGTGATATTAATACGGTTTCTTTGTCGAAACGATAGATCACATACGGCTTAGATCTTTAACTTTATCAGTAATAAAAACAAATAACAAAAACTTGTCCTCTCTTTAATATGTGAATAGTTTAGCGAATTATTACGAGATGCGGAAAAAAAAGGTGTTATGTCTATCCAGTACCTGTAAAGACTAAATTTGACTTGAACCAGTTTTGCGTGTCATCGTTAATGAACTTTAACAGCTAGCGAACAACTAACAGCTGATAAACGATCTCGCGTGCTGTTTGCGAGACGTATCGCGGTCAAGTCTGCGTAAGGTCATGCAATTTCACTTATTACACGTGTACGTCGACGATGTACATATGTTGTACAACACTTTCGATTAGTCGATTCGGTTAATGATAGGCGTTTCGTGACTTTTCCTCGCTCTCGACAAGAATTTAACTACTGACAAGAGATAAATAAATAATTTTGTTCGCGCTTTATTATTATAACGCTATTCCTGACTTATGAGATCAATGATTGCACACTACTTTTAATTTCTAGTTAATAAAAAAGTAACGTGTATGTATAACAACGTTATATACCCAGATAGCCAAATGTGAAAACTCAATATAAAGCAAATTATTGTATAGATTAAGTTGCTCGCCAATTGCTGTTGTGTTGTTTTTATTTAACGCAACGAAAATGTTTTTGTCAATTCAGTATCACTATGCTGAGTTTTATTATCAATCAATTGTTGTAGCCAATGTTTAGGACATATGAGTCAGCAATATGTGAGCAATATATGAGCAATCATTTTTATTCATAAGTTGAGAAAAATAATATAAGTTTATTGCCGATGAGTTGTTGAGAACTTGCTGTTATTACATTTTGAAAATTGTTGTTGGCAAGTACATACTTGAAAAGAGGATACACCCTTTTGTTACATTGCTGAAAACATATGAGTGATATTTGTGGCAAGTTGCCAACAACTTGCACTTAGTTGGCTATCTGGGTATAATAATGTGTATGTAGAGTTGTAATATTTCTTTAATATGTACACATACAATATATAATTACATTTTTATTGGCTGTATCCACGCGAGCATATATAAATATTGATTAAGTGGATTACATATATGGCATATGATAATTTATATAGTCTGTACATAAATACAACTCGTTTGCACTAGCTGTTGTTGTTTTTCACGTTTATTGTCTCGAAGAAAATAGCATTATAAAAATATTTTGGATGTTTATAAACATATATAGATATGTTTTTCGCGCTTATAGAGATAAAAAATTGTCCAAAAATATAATATTTATTTACACGGAATGAAAACTTTCTTCGCTTTAATAAAGACGAGTAGGAAAGACCGGGGCACATTGTGACATGCAAATTATATTATTAAAAATAACAAACTGTACACCATATTATGTAATATTGAGTACATTACATAATAGTCACATCCTTTAGTTTTAAGAAAAAAAATATTATTTTTATATATCTTTATACAAACAAAGTTATTTAATGTTAAACACGATCGTGCAAATTTGTCAACGTGCCCCGTATCCAGGATTAGTTGTCACATAAGCCAAAATTCTGACTTTCTTGGGTGTAAGATCAAAGTTAATATCTAAAGCACGTAATATATAATTAACTAGTTCTTCTTCTTGTAAATCACTAATAAAAACTCTGTTTTGGTTTAGCATAACCCACACTTATAGCAATCAAATCGTATTTTCACATATGTCCTTTTCTGAAATTTTCTTACAATATCGAACTAACGTACGATCTTCAGTTCACTTCAAATAATAATGCAGCCTGTCGCATTGACAAAGTTTTTGTTAAAGTTATATAGCGCGACGCATCCTACGCACGGCGATTACTCACGTATACTCACCGTGTGACAATTTACCCCAAACGCTCATTTTAAATAAAAGATATTATATTTATAAACTGCAATGCGATGACGATTAAATAAATATAGGAAAATTTATTTATAACTACCACTTTTCTTATGCCTAAGATAAAATTGCAATTAGAAATTTTGAAATCAATGAAATTACTAAACAATCAAGATCAAAAAACTCTACTTGCCATGTTCAGTTTTACAAAAGT